CTAACTGGTTTGCCACAACATCACACACTGATGCAGATCAGACAACAGGCAGGGTGGATAAAGTCTTCAGAAAGTCTTAACATTGATGGCTGTTGTCTATCTGAGACCGTATTCAAGACTCCAGTGACGTAATACACATTCACTATACATCTGCCGCCTTCAAAAAGCCTGTTTCATGTGCGTTTATCCAGCATCTTCATCTGGTCTTGCTAGCGTTGGTGTCTCAGTAAGCACTAGAGTTGAAGCAGTGCCAATCGATTGAATACCCATTAATAGTTCATTAGATTAGATTCGAAAACTCCATCAAAGTGAGAAGAAATCGATGTGAGAAAAGACGCTTTTTGTTATTCCACGCCCCCACAGATTGGCGGCCTGTACTAGCAGTTTAGTTATCGTCAGAGAGTGCGTTTAACAGATATCGTAGTACTAGCCGATTTTATTACACAGGTCGGGCGTCTAAGCACAGAGAAGAGTTAACTGGGTGGCCAATGGGGACCTGTTGGTTCCAGGTCAGATGATGGAGATCGTCTACTGCAACTGTGCACAAACAGCTACCTTTAACTAGCACTAACTGTCGGTAGTCATCGCCGGTGTGCTACATGGCGTCGTCCCGTTGCACCTTAAAACTTGGACTCAGATTGATCACATCAAGACCAGCTACCGCTGTTGTGGTTGTGCACAAGACTGCCGCTGCTTTTGGGGTCTTATCTGGAATTTGACCTTGCACGATGATGACGAAAGGCCGTTACGTAATCAAATAGTAAAAAGTGTGCGAGAGAACCGAGAAACCTGGTGGTCGGAGCGTGCTAACGAGTTGAAAGCAGCGACTGCATTTGGTAGCTTTCGGAAGCTTTTAAGATTCACACGAGTCACTATCCGTAGAATGGGTGGTGTGAGTGGAACAATCTGTGAAGCTGATGGGACGCCAATCAACAATATTCATTGACATCTGGGACGATGGACAGAATTTTTCAAGGAACAGTTCAGCTGGTCTGCTTCCCCGGCACGGTCAATCAGATTGTTCTGTCTCCTATAGCCGGTGACAACTGACTCACCTAATGAGATGGAAGTCCGCAAAGAACTCCAACTCTCGAAGCGCTGCAAAACACCACGCCCAGACGACTTACCTTCGAGTCTCCATAAAGATGGTGTCGGCCTTGCGACTATAAGACCGACTAAACTGCTTAAAGTCGTTTGAGAATTAGACAGTATCCTAACGTCGTGGAATGAAACGATAGTTGTCCCTACCTTTAAAAATGGTTCACGTCCTTCAACAAATATCAGGGGACAAGTCTACCACCGAACGGGTCAAAATTATTGGCTTACTTCACACTTCGTAGATTGTTCAAAACATAAGAAAAACTGACTCGTGAGGAGCAGGCCTGTTTTCATTCTGGTCAATCTTATAAGTGGGCATATAGAAGTAGTAAAACAGTTTATGTGCTTCGGAAGCCGTATAAGCGCTAATGGTGGTGTGAATGATGAGATTGATTCATGCAATGAGGGCAAGAACTGCTCATACCAACCTCGGCCACCTTTGGCGCCTTAATGATGTTAGTCTGGCGAGAGCATTTTTTTGCTCTATGCTTGTGAAACCTGGCCTCTTCAAGTTGAAAATATTAAAAAGCTTTCTGTGTTTGATCACCGTTATCGCCGAATGATTGTTAGCATTCAGCGGTAACACCATGTTAGTAAACTGGAGATTTGGCGACGAGTGTTCGGGCACAGCAAAGATAAATTCGATTGGTGTCACTACCTTGAAACACTGACTTTAGTGGCTTAAACATGTACTATGAATGTCATACCGGCGAATCCCACATCGCGCATTATTTGCCAAGGCTGGGACTGATTGTAAAAAGCGGTGTCCAATGTATGACATGGTGTCCCGATATGAAAGAAAAGTGGACAGGACTTGTATCTCTTGGTCCTTCACGACCTCTTTGTTGGGTTTCTAAAGATGATGCGACTCAGTGGCTCAACACATTATTACACATGACCACTGGTGGTCCTGAAGTAACTTTCTTTCATATTCTTCAAACAAGCAAGAGTAATGTATTTGACTGAAAGGATTCCTTCTGATTGTATTTCCCTTTGTTGAACTGTTTCTCCCACTATAATTGCTATTATTTCACTCTCATATCTATTTTTTCCTTATTTATAATATTCTCACCCTATCTTTTCATAACATTTTTATTGCGTGGCGTATAAATATTTTAGTGCCTACTTGTCCCACTATTTGTTCTAAATGAATAAACAAATAATATTTACTAAGTCAACCATTTTTAGTGCATCCTTTCATTAGGAGGAATACTTTGATGCAGATGTTAATTTGTACGAAAGCATTTCTACAACCTCTTAGTGAGGCTAAATATATATTCCTTTATAAGTGATTGCGTCATGTCTAACACTAAAAAATTAGCGACTTCCTTTCCTGTCTTATTCAAGACGACCGACATGAAAGAGAACTCTCAACCCGGTATATTTCGATTAGATAACAAACGATATCAAAATAGTAACCACTGTGAAGAAACAACCAAGACAATAAATTTCAACTCACCAGTTAGTCTTTTAAACTGCTGAGTTTTTCTTTCACCTTCCATATTTAACAAACGACCAACTCGATTAGCAATTGCGGCAAAATGTTGAGCCAGTTCCTTGTTATTTACTAGTTCACCAGCTGACTGTAGAACTGACCCATCAGGGCTGATAACTAACGTACCAAGCCAGCCTGGCAGTCGATTTAAAACAGCTAATGGTGTAACTACAGATCCATGAGATGAAGACGTCGGCATAGGGAATGCTGAAAGTAAGATTGAATAGAACCATGATAACATTTTTGTTAACGGAGGTTACATTACTTGCGTTTAGGCAGTCAACCTTTAGGCACACGTACGCACCTAGTGATAGTGACGAAAGCTTTAAAATAATTTACCGAAATTATGTTAATAGCTTCCAGTGTCACTTGGATGATTTATAAAGAAGCGACGAAGAAGATCAAACTTTGTTTCAGTGCAATGAAATATTAATGGTATTGTAACTGTTTGAGGATACGACAGTGTTATCCATGATTTATATCTCAGGAGACAGATTAAATCCTGTATCAACGAGGCAAGTTCAGTCAGTCAGTCAGTCAGTTACAACGTAGAACTTCGTAAGTAAGCACATCGGTCGGACGACTTACGTCGATTTGCCATTCAGGATGACTGAGGATCGTGGATAACCGAAGTGTGGCTGAAGGCCAGTTGAACTGATCCCTAAAGTGTTCTGCTCAACGATCCAATCTCCTGGATTGAGAATCAATGATACAAATATCCTTTTCTGAGATAATTTTGCTAACAGATGGATTTCCAATATCGGTTTCCTTTATAAGGCGTGAAAGTTGTCTAGTGTTGCCTATTGCCGCTACCTTTTCCATCGCTTTTGCTTTCGCCACCCACCACTGTTCGCGGTCGTTGCGCAGGCTTTTTATCAGCCTGTGCTTAAGCTGACTTCGTTCTTTGTCATGTTCAGAGCCAGGTGGGATGTGTCTTCGAGCATCGATCAGTTCGATGGATGCTACTGAGATCCACGACTTCTTCCTAGACTTATGGTTTACCTTAGTAGCGGATATCGCTGCTGTTTTCACAGCTTTGTTGATATCATTTCAAGCTGCCTCTGGACGGACATCACTTACATAGTCACCTAACTGTTTTTCTAGTTGTTCTTAAAATATATTTATAGATCTGCTATCATTAGGTAGAGTCAGTCAGTTGCAACGTAGAACTTCGTACGTATGTACATAAGTTCATGTTGCCATACCACATTATTAGCACAGAGACGGAAATATCAAATCAAATCCCATAGTGATAAAGATAGTAGAGGTATTAATGTTAATAAAGAAGACTAGGGTTTAAGATATTATTCAAAAAATATAATTCAGTGAGATAAGGTTAGAAAGACAAAGGTAGAGGTGCTGGCTAATCCAGAAGATTAGGATTTGAGAGAGCTCAAGGAGTGGATGCACCTGCGCCATTGCAAACGATTTTGAGCCATGTCGTTCAAGGTCTCTAACCATTGATGACTTTCGTCTCGCGGACCCCAACCAGGTAGTCTACATCTACTAACATGACTCAGTCCACTTGTCAGAGACTTCATGGATTTGTGCCATGTTTTGGTCTGGCCGCCCCTAACTTTCTTCCAACCTACTCCTACACCACAAAACATAGCTCGTCGAGGCAGTCGGTGGTTAGGCATACGTAACACATGTCCCAACCACCTCAACTGATGGAGTTTCACTACTTCATCTATTGATTTGCCATCCCTACCTAGTACTCGTTTCCTAACGACAGCATTGCTTACTCGGCTGTCCCACGATATACGAGCAATGCTTCTTAAACATCTATGATCGAATACTAGTAACCTACGAACATCTACTCTTAACGGCCATGTTTCACAGCCATATAAGAGAACGGAACGAACTGCTGCGCAGTACACCCGTCCTTTGGTTAGCGAACGGATATCACGCCTACGCCATAAGTGACGCAGGTTGGCAAATGCCAATCGAGCTTTCTGTATCCGAGCTGAGATTTCGTCAGTCACCAGACCGTCAGCACTGATGAGACTCCCCAGATAAGTGAAGCGTTCTACACGATCGACTACTTCACTCCCTATCACTAGTTCAGGCGCCAATGCAACCCAGTCTTGAAGCAACATTTTGCATTTCGAGGGGGAAAACCGCATCCCGAACATGCTCGCATTGTTGCTTATGGTAGTCAGAAGACTCTGTATTTTGTCAGCGTCTTCACCGAATAGAACTATGTCATCGGCATATTCTAGATCAGTAAGCGACTTTCCTGGTAGGAGGTCAACCCCTGAAAAATTTGACGAGCTTAATGTTAACTCTAAGAGGATGTCTACGACAAAGTTAAACAAGAATGGAGAGAGTGGACAGCCCTGACGGACACCACTTGATGTAGAGAATTCAGATGACAGTTCGCCATATGCTCTCACCCGACCAGTGGTGTTCGAGTAGAGTGCTTGTATAAGGTTAATGTACTTCTTTGGTACACCTTTCAATGACAGACACTGCCACAGAACCTCACGATCCACTGAGTCGAATGCCGCCTTAAGGTCGAGGAACACGACTATTGTCGGACGTCTAAATGTGTGTCTGTGTTCCAGGACCTGTCGTAGTGTGAAGATGTGGTCTATACAACCACGTCCAGGACGAAAACCAGCCTGGTTTTCTCGAGTCTGCTCTTCACGAGCTCTAGTTAGACGTCTAAGTATAATCGAGGCTAACAATTTAGAAACTATATTAGTTAAACTTATTCCCCTGTGATTGTCACAAGAGGACTTCTGTCCTATCTTGTAGATTGGGACAATTAGCGACTGAGACCAGTCAGATGGGATTACGTCCAGTTCCCAGATTCTACCTAGGATCTCGGTCAGTCTAACCGTTAAAACTGGACCACCATCCTTAAACATCTCAGGGGTAAGCCTATCGGGACCTGCCGCTCTACCTCCCCTTAGATTTCCTATAGCTTTCTCAACTTCATGTAAACTGGGAGGACTTAAATCGATTTGCCATTCAGGATGACTGGAGATCGTGGGCAACCGAAGTGTGGCTGAAGGCCAGTTGAACTGATCCCTAAAGTGTTCTGCCCATCGGTCCAGCCTCCTAGATTGAGAATGGATAATAAGACCATCCTTTTCCGAGATAGTCTCACTTACATTCGGGTTCCTAATACCGGTTTCTTTAATAAGGCGGAAAAGTTGTCTAGTGTTGCCTATCGCCGCTGCCTTTTCCATCGCTTTTGCTTTCGCCACCCACCACTGTTCACGGTCGTTACGTAGGCTTTATATAAGTCTGCGCCTAAGCTGACTACGCTCTTCATCATGTTCAGAGTCAGGTGGGATGCGTTTTCGAGCATCCATCAGTTCGGTGGATGCGACTGATATCCACTGCTTCATCCTAGCCTTGTGGTTTACCTTGCTAGCAGATACCATTGCTGTTTCCACAGCCTTCTTGATATGATTCCAACCTGCTTCAGGATGGGAATCACTTGCATGCCCGCCTAACTGTTTTTCTAGTTCCTCCTGAAATATTTTCTTAGCTTGATTATCATCAAGTAGAGCCCTAAGAGGCTTCCTTACGGTGTCTTTCCTACGTCCAGCAAGCCTCAAACAAATACGTGCTCGCACTAGAGCATGATCTGAATCTAGACATGTGCCCCAGAACGAGCGACAGTCTTCTATCGAACCCCTCCATCGGTGGCTGATGGCGATATGATCTAGTTGTGTCCAACGTTGAGACGACTTCGGGGGTCGCCAGGTCAAAAGGTGTTTTTCCTTATGCTTAAAATTAGTGTTTGCTAGAAATAGTTGGTTATCTGAGCACAGTTGCAACAGACGGTCGCCATTGTCTGTTCTTTGAGCCGCGAGACCGTAACATCCACCTAGGTGTCTTTCATTTTCACTCAGTCTACCTACTTGTGCATTGAAGTCACCAGCCATTATAACTATATCAGAGCGCTTAACTTTTTGGAGGTCCGAAAGCTTTCTGTAAAACTCATCTTTCACATCATCTGGGCTGCAGTCAGTGGGGGCGTAGGCTGATATGACGAAGAGGCAACGGCGAGTGTCCCTATCTTTCCGAGTCCTTACTGTCCCGTTCAGTCGGACGGCGCACAAGCGACTATCTACAGGTATCCAGTCAAGGAGAGATTGTTCTGCCCTACGACTCAATGCTATACCGACACCGGCGAGGCCCCTAGAAGCAGCATCAGGGCTACCGGATACACGAAGGGTAAATCGAGCTGCTTCTTTATCTTGACATGGTGAGGTCAAATGAGTGATGCTACTCGGATCCTGTATGCGCGTTTCCGAGACGCAGCACACATCGATAGAATGAGATTCTAAAGTCCTAGCTAATGATGCCTGTTGCCCTATTTGACACAATGTCCTTACATTAAAAGCTCCAACATGTAGTTTGGAACGGGGTTTAAGGAGACCAGGAACGACGTTTCGCAAACTCGCATCGTTTGCATTAGCTGTGCACTGTAATAAATGAATGTGAGAAGAGTTAGTTGTGGAGATAAGAGAGGTATTAGGGAATTTAGGAAGGATTTGATTTTGAACAATTTGGTCTCGTGTGCTGTTACGGGTATGAGGGCGGTTATCACTTCCCGGCTGCCCACACCGTGGAAGGTTGTTTCTTGACGAACCTGAAAAGGAAGATGGATTAGTGTTGGTGCGTGACCGCAGAGTCCAAGGGACAACTGCTTGAGGC